GTGTGCTGGAGAGGCTGGGATAGCGCCGGGAAGGGGGTTTGCAGACCTAAACCGCTGAGTTTTCAAGCCTTTTCTGAAAGGCAGAGACCTTCCCCGTGTGCTCGTGCTTCAAAGCCGTAAATTTGTTTCATCACTTCGATGAAATCTCCCAGTCATTCTCAGGCTGCTCTGCCACCCAAATTTGCCTTCCCGTCTTTCCCTGTGATTTGAAATGGGTGCAGAACTGTAAGGGACAACTGGGTTGTTTTTTCTTTTTCCTTAAAAACCGGGATGGTTGCACCGAGAGCTTAAAAAAACGTTCGAGGGAGATTTTTGAATCCGAGATGGGAACAGATTTAAATCCTGGTCCGAGGAGGTGGTTAAACCTTGTTTTAAGATGAGGTAATAAATACAGTAAGGCAATAAACCTGCTGAATGTGAAGCACAGGTAGAGAGAGGAGAGCGGGTGACTCCCTGGGGAGCGCCTGTGGAAGGGGGAAAAGCAGGGGATGATGGGGAATCTTGTGACTTTGGGGACCTGGAGGAACCCGAGCAGAGATGAGTAAGTTTGTGTCATGTGACAGAAATACTGAAAACGTAAATCTCCTCGTAGATCTGGTCCTAGCCCGGGGTTTGGTTTCCAGCCTTTGGTTTTGAAAATGCCAGCCCGAGGAATTCCCAATCTCTTCCGCCTCAATCCCGGCGCCACCTATTCCTGCCTTCCCACCCAAGGTGCTGCTCCTCGGCCCTGCTACAGCTGTGGGGCTGTAAATGGGATCACTGAAATCATCCAGGTTAAAAATAACACCCGGGGGGAGGGGAGCAGTGGCTTTTTAAGCCAGGGTTGCTGCTGAGGAGTGTTGAACAGCAGCCTTGGGATCCCTGCTTGGAATCCAGGGATAACCAGCACTCGGAGGCTTCCTCTGCCACTGGTGGCTGCTCTGCAGGTTTTAGTCCTGTGGAGGTGTTTTTAATATTGTTTGCCGTGCAGGGGGATTGCTCAGGGAATTCCTGGAGCGGTGGATACACCTGGAAATGGGAAATGCAGCACTTCCCCACCACCGAGGGACAACAGGGGTCTGACAGGTCCCAGGCTGTAAAAAAAAAAACCACAACCAACCACCCCTTGTTGACATCCTGATGTTCCCAGAGGAAGGAGGATGAAAAAACCCAGAGGGCGAGGCTTTTAACAAGGATTTAACTATGTATCTTTATTTTGGATAACTTTTAACACCCCAAACCAGGGGAATCACCAGCTGCTGTGGAAAGGGAGGGCAGGGAGGTGGCTGAGGGGTCTGAGTTCACCTCCTGTCTCAGGCTGGAAACCTCCCTGGAGAGGTTTGCTGTGGCTGCAGAGCACAGGGAAGGCACAATTCCAGAAAATGAGGGGGCAACTGCTCTGCACCTTCATGGGGAGAGGAACAACCAGCTCACCCACAGTGCTGCATGGACAGGAACAAAAAACAGTGACTGGGAGTGTGTTCTTATTGAGCTGGGCTCGAGTGTAGAAAACAAAAAGACATCTGTGGGCTTTTGGGGGGCAAACTGCTTCAGGGAAGGACCTGTTGGCCCTTTCTACCTGCACCTTGTGCTGAGGTGGAGGGGAGCTCACCAGAGATGTCCTGCCTTCAGCAAAGCTTGGCATCACTGTGTGTTCAGTGAGGCAAAAGGGATTCTGTGCTCGAGCCACAAACTCTGAATTTTCCAGATTTTGGGGTAGGGAAATACGTGTGCTGCTTCCTCTTGAAGATCCAGCTGTCGTTTTCCCATAGCCAGTCAATAATTAGCAGCCCCTCAGCTCCAGTCCAGTTTGATTGTGGCTGGACAAGCAATAATCCACATCAAGGACTGAAACCAGAGATGCTTTCTGACCCACGGGGTGAGTTCTGACACTTTGGCACCAGATTAACCCCCAAAAAAGAGGGGAGTACTTTTCCTTCCCTGCATCAGAAGTGATTTGTTTGCTCTGTCGTTTTGCATCTTTAAGAGCAAAGTGGAATTAGTGCAGGCTGTGATGTTTAGTCAAGGTATTACAAGTAAACACTTGATCATTCTTACTCACACCAGTAATAGGATTTACAGCCCTCTGTGTAGAATTTTGGCCTTTCAACTCGAGCCCTAAACAAGTGTTCCAGCCTTGGCTTTGGGGCAGGACACTTGTGGTGGCTTTAGCACCTATAAATAACTTAAAGCATTCTGTCTTTAGGCCACAGTAACGAATGTTGCACTTGTATGGCAGCTCCAGGTAATCTGCAGAGGATAAAACCTTTTATGATCCAAAAGATGAGGGGGGTGCTTCAGTGGCAGCAGTGACCAGATTGATTTTGAGGCCTTGAAAAGGAGTGATACCTGTTTGTGGTTTATTGTGGCCTTTCTGGTGTTCAGGTCAGGAACTGGCCTTCTGTCCAGTGTTGCTTGTTTCTGGATAAAGGAGGGGGGCTGAAATCTGTCTCTCTGACAGTTTAATTCTGTAGCCTTCTGGAGCTGTGCTTGGGAAGGATCTGGTGACCCATCTATTAAATCTTGTCCTGTTAGTCGAGATTTTTAAATAATATAATTAACACTCATATGAATATTTTTTATTTTTTTTTTGAAGCCTGTAGAGTTGTGTAACAATTACATAAACTACCAGTACATAATTCCCAAAAAAAAATCCTTAGATGAACTGTTTCCCAAGGATCCCTCATCCCAGCTGGGACAAAGCGTGTGGATGTGGGAGAGTCCCAGCAGCAGCTCTGGAGCTGAGACAGAGGCGCCTGCTCACACTCCTGTGATTGTTCTGCCACTTATGTCATCTTGGAGCCTTTGAACTCCGTTTGTTGAGGGCGTGGGGATGGTTCTGAACGAGCACAATTACGATTTCTCTGCGTGGAAATAAGTTCATTTGCTTTTCTTCCTCTGTTGGGCTGAGATTGAGCCCTCCCAACGCCTGGTTATCAGCGTGGGGCACTCGGGTTACTCAGGGCAGGTCAGCCTTTTTTTTTTTTCTCACTCCTTGGCAGGGCTGGAACAAAGAGGGGATGTGTGGCCCTCATGTCCTGCAGCACCACAAACACGAGTAACCAGCAACAGAGCAGCTGCCCTCCTGGAGGTTTTTAACCTCTTAAAATTCGGGTCCTTAACGCTCTGAACAGTCACCTGCCTGGCACAGGGGGCAGAGCTCCAGAAGGGTACACACTTGTCTCCCAACTTCCTGGCATTTCCCTGTGGATAAACTCCCTTGCCCTGGAGAGTGTGTGGTGGGGTGATTCATTTCTCTCACTGGAAACTACTCTGAGGAGTTTCTTGGTTGCAAAACAGCTTATCTGTAAAGAATTTACGACCCGAGGTACACAGCTCTTTTAAATATCTTTTGCAGTCCCTTTCATGTATCTTAGGGTATATTTAGCAATGTTTAACCTGTATCTGTTGCTTTTTATAGGTTAATTATGCAGTGTGTGCCAGCCTAAGGAATGTATAGTCTGATCCTGCTGGCTGCCAGTTAAAGATTAATTGTGACACTCTTTGTGTGTAATCCTTGAAAAATGAAGCTTGATGGGTGTAGTATTTGTGCTCAGTGTCTCCTGGGGAGAGGGGAAGTTGTCCAGGATAAATAATACATGGTTGTGTTATCCTGTGTTGTAACTTGCATTTCAGGCACATGAAATTAAAACCTGAATTTGCATTTCCAGCGAGCGAAAATTAAAACCTGAATTTGCACTTCCAGCGAGCGAAATTAAACCTGCTTTCAAGAGTTAAAAAGGGACCGAGCTGAGAGTTCAAATCTGGTGCTTCAAAGCCAACACCTCAGGGCTCTCAACTCAAAA